ATTTCAATTTTAATATTTATATATATAATAACATATGTATATTATTAATAAATATTTTATATTATATTGAATAATATTTTATTTTTAATTGTAAGGTTAAAATCGCGCGCGCGACATATGTGATACACCATGCAACACTGGTCTGCTGGTTAGATATAGATAGATAGAGTGAGATGATATAATAGAGTGAGATAACACATAAAGTCAAAGGCCCTCTATTATCGAAAAAACGAGATGGACATTTTCTCTGGTCGACAACGTTAATGATGACGTTTCTTAAAAATTGAAACGTGAAAATTCACAGATCCGGACTTTGCGTCGCGATATCTCCGCTTGTAGGGCACGTAGAAAAAAAATGAAAGCACTTTTATCATATAATTTAAGTATTTGCTATCGATTGAGCGTATATAGAACTTGATCGGTTCAGCCGTTACTGAGATTTGATCATCTCGACCCCGAAATTTCTCAGTTTCGCGTAAAGGAGGCACGGCAGTGTCGCGCGCTTGGCTTAGCGCCGAGACGCTACCGTGTCTCCAGATATGGATAAAATTTTTATATGAGAATAATAAGGCACGTATAATAGAAAGTATTAAAAAGGTATAGAAGTATTAAAGCTGAAGTTGAACTTCCAAAGTATAGGAAATATAGGAAAGTATAGAAAAAAAAGTATAGGAAGACAAAGAAAATACTGTACGATATGTAGTAGTAGTAGTAGTAGTAGTAAATATGTGCAGGTGGGCTTAACCAGCCTACTACCGCGACCTAGATCCATGGGGATCCATTGTCGCTCCCTGCTTGTTCCGTAGGTCATTCAGTCAGGCCCAGCCTTGTGTCATTTACCAGGCTTATTAGACTGCTGACCTTCGCATTTTCAAGATCCATGGGTGTCATAAACATATGTCCTCAGGATTTATATCTTTTACAGGCGAGTGCAGGACAACGGCACAATAAGTGCAGGTTGCCCTCGCCTTCTTCTCCACATAGCCGGCACTCTTTCTGCTCCGCTAGCCCTAGGTTGAATAGATGTGCTCTGAGGGGCATATGTCCTGTCAAGAGGCCTATGCCTCTCCTCAGTTTCTCTTTTCCCATCGCCAGCAGTTCCTTGGTTCTTGCTGGTTTTGAAAGTTTCATGAGTTGTTTGGCTCGTCTGCAGCCCTCTATCCCTTTCCAGGAGTTCGAGTGCTCCCGTTCAAGAAACTCTTTAATATTTTTTGTTCTTGCTGAAAATGGGACACCAACGATCCGTTCAGCCGGGACCTTTTCGGTGCCCTGTTTTGCCAGCTCGTCCGCTCTCTCATTTCCAGGTATACCTTGATGTCCAGAGACCCATACTAGGGTTACCTTGTTTGTTACCCCTAGTGTTGTGAGTGCTTGCATACAGTCCCATACTACAGATGATTCTGTGGAGGTACTTGCAAGTGTCTCAATAGCTGCTCTGCTATCCGAGCAAATATGCATCTGTTTTCTACTTCCCTCCTTTAGCAGGAGTTCCGCACATTTTTGGATGGCCAGCACTTCAGCCTGAAACACTGTGGCCAGCTCACCCATTGGTATGCTTACCTCTTGGTTAATATTGGGCCCAAATATACCTGCCCCATATCGACCGTTTGCTCCCGATCCATCCGTAAACCAAGTGTCTACGTCTGGATTGGTTTTGTTGTCATGCTTGCTCCAGTCCTCCCTAGTCGGTATTTGAACTTCGAAAGTCTTTACCAACTGGTGTTTTCTGGGGATCCTATCTTGTTTTAGATTAAAAGGGTGTTTATCAGAGAGTCCCAGTCTTGTATGTCCAGTCCTGGTTTCCTTCCACTCACCCTGACATCTTAGTCTGTATGCTGTTTGCCTGGCTGTGTATTTGATCATCTAGTTTAGGGGCGGGATACTGAGTGCTACTTGTAGCGCCTCAGTTGGTGCAGTTCTTATGACCCCTGTTGCAGCCCTCAGGTAACCTCCCTGTAGGCTTTTGAGCAGGTTCCTTGCCTCCACCTTTTCCGCCCTTGACCACCAGATCACTGCTGCATACATGAGTCTTAGTAACAATACCATCTTGTATAACCATAAGGCTGTCCTGAGGTTTAGTCCCCAGTTCTTTCCCATGGCCCTTCTGCAAGCCCACATAGAGGCGTAGAATTTCTTCCTCTTTTCCTCGAGGTGTGGTTTCCAGCTCAATTTGGGATCTAATAGGACCCCTAAATATTTTACTGAATTTGCATAAACTATTTCTTCGCCCCAGAGCCTTAATGTCTCAATGGGTTCCGGTTTATATTTTCTGGTGAAAATCATGGCCGAGGTCTTAATGGGGTTTACCATCTGTCCCCTCGTCCTACACAAGTTTTGAACAATTACCAAGGCTTGATCCATCCGTTCCTTGAGTGTCGAGAGGAAATTACCTCTTATGATAATGGCCACGTCGTCCGCGTATCCGTAGATTTCGAAGCCTGAATCCTTCAGTTTTGTGAGGAGTTCATCCACCACCAGGCACCACAGCAAGGGGGAGAGCACCCCCCCTGCGGGCAGCCCGCCGCCGGTCTCCCCTCAACTGAGCTGTTGCCATGATTGACGGTCAGTCTTCTGCCCTTCAGCATGCTTTGTGTCCAGTCGATCAGCGGTTCTGGAATGTTAAATCTGTTCATGGCGTCTTTAATCGACGTATTTGAGGTGCTATCAAAAGCCCCCTCAATGTCAATAAAGACACCTATTGCATATCCTTTTGCAGCCATGTGTACTTCAACCCCGCTCACAAGATGATGCAGGGCAGTATCTGTAGATCTGTCCTCCCTATAGGCGTACTGGGATGGGTTCAGCGGCTTTGCAATAAGGTAGAAGTTTTTCAGATGCCTATCAATGAGCCTCTCCAACATCTTTAAAATGAAGGATGTGAGGCTAATAGGTCTGTAATCTTTGGCCAACACATGGCCATTTTTACCTGGTTTTGGTATAAATACCACTCTGGTATCGCTCCAGGCTTTCGGAACGTGTCTCATTGCTATGCTAGCCCTGAGCACTTTCGTCAGGGGGCCTACTAGAGCCTTTCTACCCTCCCTGAGTAGAACGGGGTAGATGCCGTCTGTTCCTGGAGTCTTATATGGTCCGAAGGTCTTGATAGCCCATTCAACTCCCTCAGGAGTCACCACCTTAGCTGCCAGTGTCCATTCTCTTGGTTTATGTTTTTCCCCGGGTTTCTTAATTTCCTGTTGAGGTTCACCGTATCTTTCCTGGAACCCTGGGAAGTGTGTAGACATGAGGTGTTTTAAACTTCCCTCTACTGTCTCGGTATAATCTCCGTTTGGGAGTTTAAGACATCCCAATCGTAGGTTATTGTCTTTACTGAGGATTCTGTTTAGCCTGGATGTTTCTGAAGCGCTCTCAATGCTTTTACAGAAATCTCTCCAGCTTTTTCTTTTGGCAATGATTATTGCTTTGCTATAGCTGCGTTGGGCGTTTCTATACGCTTCCCAATCGGCTGTTGAGTTCTTCCTCCTTGCTTTATTGAAGAGTCTTCTTACTCCCAACCTGTGCTTTGAAAGCTCCTTGCTCCACCAGGGAGTTTTGGTTGTAGAGTATTTCGATCTCTTCAGGCAATTTCCTTCATAGGCTTCTTTTATCGCGTCACTTACAAACTGCGCCGCGTATTCAAGATTTTCTTCTGAGTGAAATCTGTTCGCGGCTTTCTTCAGGATGGCCTCCAGGTCCATCCTATAGCCCTCCCAGTTCGTAGTCCTTGGGTTTCGACCCCATTCTTTATTCACCATATGTCTGAGATTGTAGCGAACCTGCCTGTGGTCAGAGCCCGAGGGCTCCCCAGAGACTCTCCAGTCCCGCACCAGGTCCGCCACTCCCCCAGTACTGATGGTGATCTAATACTTCTTGTCTTCTGCAGTCCATGAAGGTGGGTACCGTTCCTCTGTTTAGGATCATCAGACTGGCGTCTATAATGAATTTGTGGAGGCTCTCTCCCCTCGGGTTTATGTTCGTGCTTCCCCACCCTATATGGTGGGAGTTTGCATCACAGCCCAATAGGAGTTCAAGCCCCCTCTCCTTCGCGTAGGACACCAGTTCTCTTACCTTTTTAGGTGGTGGTTCTTCTTGAGAGTCATAGGACATGTAAGCTGACCCTATGAGTAGATCCAAGTACTTGTCCTCGTCGTAGTCCATCCTTGTCCGTATGACAGTGGTGTCTCCATCGCTGAGCTGTGACATAAAAATAGCATTTAGTCCCTTAGTTACAATACAGGTCCTAATTTTGTTCTGAGTGTCTGCTTTATAGATAGTACCACAGCCACTCAGACCCATTATAGCGTTATTCAGGAGCCAAGGCTCCTGAATTATTGCTATTGCTGTCTGCATCACAGCCATGCTCCTGGCTAAAATCGCCGAGGCGCCTTTGCTCAACACCACCTATAGACAAGGCCTCTGCACCTCGTTCGGACATCACTGTGACGTCATCACAAGTAGGCCGAGCGTTTTCCATGGTTTTCCAGTGTTACGGGAACAGAAATAATAAATAATTGAAAGTTCTTTATGATTTCGTCAATTATTTTAAATAATTTATTGCTAATAGCATGTGCTTTTGAGGTGAGTTTATGTGTCAATAATTTACTGGACCATAAAAATGATTTGAAAGTAGGACAAATATGTTTGCCTATAGGTTAAGTTTTGGTTATTTCAACAATACCCTCTTTTCTTATTGACATATCTTATTAATTTACAGAAATGCCGTTCAAATGCTGCGTTCCGAATTGTAATGGAAATTACAAAAACGTTCCAAAGGTCGCAACATTTTCGTTTCCAAAAAATGAGGGAGACGAAACGAAAATGGTTACATGCTATCTGCAGAAAGGACTTCCAGCCGACAAACAATTCAAAAGTAATCTATTATAATCAATTTCTTTTCCAATTAATTTCTAAAATTTAATATAGTAAAAAATATCTCTAGAATCACAGTAGCAGCCAGAATCCGTTTAAAAAAATTTATTCTTTACATCTTTTTCTTTTCCATCTACAGATATGCGAGTTACATTTCCGATTGTCCGAAATGGAACGGGAAACTAGCCACTACGTCGAATCGACTGGCAAACTTTTAACTGCACCATTGGCACATCCACGATTGATCAAAGGTAAATGTTATGTCGCTTTGCTTTGTTTTTATAATGCAAATATAGCTGTTCCAAAATAGCTTTACAATCTACAATACATTTTCTTTTGTTAAACTACACTATCGGATCTAATTTCTAAAATAATAATTAAGATTTAAAGATAATTAAAGTTTTTCTTAAACGCGTTACAATCAGTTTCTACATCCCATGTCGAATCTCGAATGTCAAATCAATTATCTAAAATGTTTTCAAAAAATTGATTTTCTGGTCGTACAATTTTTAATAACAGAATTATGAATATTGTGGTTGTATTAAAAGTGTCAATTCAAATTCAATACTCCTTACAGCAAAGCAACAAGATTGTCTTTCCTCATTGCAATTATATGTTTGTACAGATGCTGTCCCAAGTCAGTTTCCAAATTGCCCTCGTTACATGACAACCAACGACGCACCTAAACGTCTAGCGCCAGAAACAAAACGAATGAAATTAGAACATGCCATGATTGAGCAAGTTATTGAGAGGAGTATCGAAACGGAGAAATTGTTTAACGAGAAAATCGGATTTTCTAGTCTCGACGAACTCTACGCAAAGTTAAAAGAACGCATCGATCTGCAGAAGTGGATTATTTCACGTAGGGACAACGTTCTTCATTTTACATTGAAGATATCTCATACCCGAATATCAAATGTTGTGTGCGAGTGTCAGAAGATTTCACTTTAAGATTGTTTTATGGATCGCGGGTAGTGACAAAACTAAATGACAAGAAATTCAGTGTACCGTTTATCGTGAGTTCGGTCATTGAAATCGAAGACGTTCTCCATCAAGTGTTGATATCTATGAACAAAAAATATCAAGATTGCTCAGCAATGGAGAACATTAATGCGTGTATCGATATTTTGAATTCTTTATTAGTGATATTACCGCAGCGAAAGCCTGTCATCGAGTTCTTGTTGCAGCAGATAAAAAACCTGAATACTTTGAATAAAGGTGCCTTTCGATATTCGTGGGAAGCAACCTTGTTTTGTGGATTACTGCAGTCGATTTCCCCACACGCGTACACATTTCTTCACAATTCAGGCCATTTATTGCTACCATTCTCATCGACAATAAAAAGATTGTGCAGTAATTTCTCTGGTAACCCTCAGGTGGAGCAAAACAAGTCAACGTTGCTGCAGTATATAGCGTCGAAAGTTAAACTGCTTTGTGATGAAGACAAAACGGTGACTCTTATGATTGACGAAATTCATATAAAACCGTATATGGATTATAAAGGCGGAAACATTGTTGGAAAAGCTTTTAATAGTACAGACTGTGCAAAAAGTGCTCACGTTTTCATGATAAACAGTTTGTTATCAACATACCGCGATGTTGTTCATATCTTGCCTGTAAAAACGCTGGATGCTCAAACCTTATATAATTATATAGAAAAAATTGTCATTGGATTGGAAAAACTCGGATTTGAAGTGCTTAGTATTGTTTCGGATAATAATGCCATTAACTCGAAGGTAATGTCCTTTTTTAGCGATCCACCTGAAGTAAAAAACCTATATAGAAATCCTGCTAATAGTTCAAAGCCACTATTTTTTGTAATAGACTCTGTGCTTATAATTAAAAACTTAAGAAATAACTGGATAAATCAGAAACCAGATCAATATATGTGCTATCCAGATTTCGAAGAAGAAAAAATGAGACTTGCTTCATTCCAAGCTCTCAAAAGTATGCACTCAAGCGAAAAGAATAAGTTACTGCAGTATGGATACACACTT